AGAGATAAATTGGAGAAGAACATCATTAATGAAATAAAGTATCAAAGAAATTATTTTTATTTGTTGTAAAACAATATTAATATTAATATTAAATATAATGCACATTGTGGAGGTGTTGTTTTACGCAGGCGGCCGTCACACACATTATTTCCCACGTTTATTTTTTCTGTTTAAGCTATTATTTTTTTTGGCAGCTTTTTCAGCTTGTTGCAACACTTTTTGTCTTTTTTTCTCTTCTGTTTCTTGTCTTTTCTTCTCAGCTGTTTCTTGCCGTTTTCTTTTTCTCTCTTCGATTGCATTTTGACGTCGACATTTCTCCATTTCTTTCTCTCGGTGATATTCTTGCCAAGCCAACGAAGTGGCCACTGAAGGTATTTTGACTTTTACAACACGTTTTTTCGTTGCTGAATTGTTTTTGCGGGGCCAAAATATAGCCTTTTTAAAAACATCTGGGATATCAGAAGGAACGTCTAAGAAATCTGAAAAATAATAGAGATTAGACAATTCCTATTCTATTTTTAATAAAATATTATACTTAATATGTATTTATATGTACCATTGTCATGAACAACAGCAGACATTGAAACTGATTGGATATCTCCAGTGGTATTAACATTAGCATTAATTGCTCTGAAAAAATAGAACGATTTTATTTTAATTGAATGTAACAATTGAAAATAATTGTTCTAAAAAGTTGATAAAATTTACTTGTTTATTGTCGTATCTTCATTAATGTTGAATTGTGAACATCCTGCAGTGACGGTTTCATTTTGCATTACGATCTGCGGAAGATTGTTCGGGCTCGCATTTGCTTTGTCAGTCAAATCAACTGTCAGCCTGGGATGTTCTTGAAAAAGTACTTCGTCCGTCGAATTATCTTCAGGATTCTTTAGCGGTAAAATATTTTCTTTTTCTTTCAGACTTTGATGCTCTGAATTATCTATTTGATAGGATGCAACATTGAAACTAGATTGTAAGGCACAAGTTTCGATGATTAATGCTGAGATCAAGATTCTGATTTGGGTCACCCATGATAAGAATGCCAATTTCATCCGTAGAATTGAAATCTTCAGTATTTAGAATACTAGAATGACCTCCTTCTAAAGCAATTTAAAATACAGTGCAAAATACAATTAAAAAATAAATTTATTTCAAAGTGAAATCCGATAGACGCGATTAACTAAATTTGCGCGCGCGCGCGCGCGCGCGTGTGTGTGTGTGTGTGTGTGTGTGTGTAGTAAAGATAATATATATAAAGATGTATAAAGTAAAATATACGTGTATATTTAAAAAGTTAAAAAAAAAGTTAAATTAAAAATTAAAAATGATTACTTGTTAATTTCAAAATTTTTTGCCAAAAATAGAAAAGGCCAAGGTTTTCATCTGTGCCGTTATAGATTCCAATTTCATTAGCGTATTTGAATATACCCAATAAATTTTCATCAATGTGACTCTCAATAAATAATAAATGATTTTCAGCATTGTGTTCTGATGTCGAAGTTACTATCGCGTCATTCTTTTTTTCTGCAACAGTTGATTGTACTGAAGTGCATCGGCTGAAAACGGGAAAAGGCCACACTTCCTGAAACCATTGCTCATCACCTTTGGAAGTTCTATGCGTTCAATAGCGATTTTGAGGAGTGGGCCAAAGTCTTCTCTTCGTAAATTCCTTTCATTTTGCACTCGCCAATCATTTATGCAGTCTCTCCAGCTCGATTTAAGCGTCCGAAACAGAGCAACGTCAAGCGGCTGAATAAGGTGTGTTGCGTTTGGGAACAATGCAATAAGTTCTATTTGATGATCCATACAAAACTGAGAAACCGGTAACGTCATGTGAGAAAAGTGCCCATCGACATACAGAATAACCGGTCTCTCGATGTTATGTGCTGTCAGCCATGGTTCAAAAATGTTACTTATGTATTCATAGAAGGTTTCGGCCGTCATCCATCCGTTTTCCGACTTCCCAATACTCCAATCAATTGGTACACTTTGCGAAACACTATAAGGAATTCTCTCATATGGAAAAACTATCATTGGAGAAACCAATGCGCCCGTAGCGTTTGTCATAAATAGTACTGTCAAGCATTCCTTCTCGTCGTTTTGTGTGAAATTGTAAACTGCCTTATCTCCTTTTCTGACCAGCACACGTTCCCCTTTCGGACAAAGATAGAAAGCAGATTCGTCGCAATTAAATATCCGAGCTCCATCGATGTCTATTAATTGGTTCTTAACTAAATGCTGTTCGATTTCTTTGAACCAACCGCGCAGAATATCTTCTGTTACTGACGCTCGACTTTTAGGCAAGTTTTGAGCTATGCGAATAGAAATTTCTTGATGCCGACGTAAAAACGCTTCGTACCAGTGACGTCCTGGTTGTCCATTAGCAAACGGTGTTTCTCGACCCAATTGTTTGATTAAACAAGCAACATTACAAAGCAGTTGTGTTTTTGTGACTGGGAAGCCTCGTTTACTGAGATAAAGCATCCAACGCACTATTATTGCCTCTTCTTCAGCAGATAGTACAGTTGGAGGACCTGTTCTCTTTCCAATTGGTCGATGTCCTTTTAATTTTGCTATTAGCGTTGATTTAGGGATACCACTTGATTTACTAATAGCATTTATTGACTTTCCAGAACGAACGTCAACGAGTGCTTTTTCGAGTTGTGTGTCTGACCTATTTTTTTCGAATTTTACCCATGCTGAATGGAAACTTCAATACTAAAAATAAAAACTCAAAATCTCATTAATGTCATTAAAATTCGAATATAGAAAAAAAACATTTCATTATAATTTCCACACAAAATAATAAAAAACATTACAAATTATTTACTTAATACTTAAGTAATTGAATAAGTAAGTCATTACAAATCAATATAAAACATATCCCGATGTTCTAAAAAGAAGTCGGCCCTAAGTAACCTAACCTAACCTACTGTTATAATTAGTTTTCTTGAGTCTGGTCACAAATAAAGACATGCGTGTTTTATTGTTCCTATTTGTAATGTTCGCTTATATACTCAAAACTACTAACCTTTTTCGAAATATACTAATAGTACAACATTTATTAATTATTCACTGTGATACTTACACAAAATTGTTCTTCAATATTTCTTTTCAACGATGTAAACAAAGCTGTCGCTGTATTGTGACAAGCACTTCACCTACTAACGTGTCAACCAACTTACACTCGACTGTCACTGCGATGGCGACACTAGCACCTTATTTCATATTTTTACGAATATTTATTGATGAAATATCACGAAACCATATCAAATTGTAGTTTATTAATCGCCAAACATAATAAATATTCTTTTCAAGGATGAATTACTTAAAACTTCTAATTATTTTAATAAAAATCCACGAGTGGTCACAAATAGAGACATGGTCACAAATAAGGACATTTACCTTACTCATTAGAGCCTTCTAGCCACGGTTCGGTGTGTAAGGTGTGTGCGTGAATAAAACAGTTAAGCCAGTCCAGTGGAATTACTCTTTCTTAACACCATCCCCAGAAACCCGCTCCGGCAAAACAAAAAAATAAGAAGTGTTTCGATAATTTCGAAGGTGTCGCGACTTTATGGTCCTTCGAGCCGGATCGCGGGCGGATTACACAAGGACAAATTAGTGAAACAAGTACAATTAACACCTCGATATTAATCGCAGTCGTTCTAATAATTTCAGGGCGTAATTCCAGTGCCACTATTTGTGCGTGCGTGATTAAGTGAAATTCCTTTTGCCACGCGTCAAACATTGATACGAGAGTGGATTCAGCTCGTTGTCTTGGGATATCGCCTTCTTCGTTTTCTAACATTAACACGGCCTTGAACTGTGTTTACATCGGGCCGACGCACATCAGCCATCAATAGAACGGTGCTTGCCGATCGCGTGATCCTCTCCTCTTGCGCGCGCAAAACGGAGTCCGGCAATTCACGCGTGTGAATGTACCGGGTGTACATTGCTGCTCCTGATTATTCTACCACTTATCGACTCTCACGCAGTTAGGTACAATGTCGTCGCTCGACGATCTGCTCACCAGGCAAGACGCCAACATCGTGCAACTTTCCCGTGCCCTGCCCAATTTGAAAAAACTTGGAGTGAACAATTTCACGATTTCCAAGGTGAAGAATCGGCTTGCTGCTTTGGAGAAGGTGTGGGGAGAGCTGCGGGACACCAACTTCCAGCTACTCCATTTTGCCTCCGAGGAGGATAAGGGGCAGCTCGAATACTTCACGCGCAATGTTTTCTTCCGAGCGGAAGAAATATACCTCGAGGCTTCCGATTACATGACCGAGGCCATCGGATCCCTGGACCATGCAGTTTCTTCTCGGACCATCTCCGGAGACGCTAGTGCAATTAATTCGACTATAGCAAATATCTCCGCGACTAGACTCCGCAGAATCGAGCTTCTCGAATTTTCCGGCGATCGACTAGACTGGGAGCATTTTCGCGACATGTTCGAATCGTTGGTTATAAATGACCTGTCATTAACTAATGTCATGCGATTACACCATTTAAAGGCGAGTCTCAAAGGCAATGCTGCTCTTTTATTGCGCCATTTCAAAATAACCGAGAGTAACTTCGAGTCCGCGTGGAAAGCATTAACCGATGAATTTGCGAAGACGCGTTTGATAATCAATTCACACTTACACGCGATTGCGGAATTGCCAATTCTCAAGAACGAGACGGCTAGCGCGCTTCGCAATTTACGCAACGTGGTGAAATCGTCGGTAGATGCACTCTCGAATTTAGGCCGTCCGGTCGACAAGTGGGATGATCTCCTGATATTCATTCTCGTCAAGAAATCTCGAATCTACTCGAACACGTCAAGAGTGGCAGATGGAGTTAGGAGACACGTATGAACCTCCCACTTACGACGCGTTCTCGAAATTCATATCAAGGCGAATACGAGAACTCGATAACGAGAGCCCTCTTGGCGCGAGCGAAAGCGTAGCCGTGAAATCGCGTAGTTTGAATGCGAGAGTTCATACTTCTAATAAACAGCTGATCGATGAATCACGAAAATGCCCTGCTTGTTCTGAGAGCCATTTGCTCTTCCGGTGTAAACAATTCTTTCCCTTGAATGCGGATCAGCGTTTCGCTCTCGTCAAGAAGTTGAAATGTTGCGTCAATTGTTTGCGTCTTGGTCATGCGACCACTGCTTGTACAAATTCGCGCAAATGTTATAAATGTGATAAGCCACACCACACGTCTTTGCACCGCGATAATAAGCGTTTCGAAACCAATGCGAATTCCGAGGACAATTCCGCGAATACTGCCGATGTAAACAAGCCAATTGCTGGTCCATCGGTTCTCACTGCGTCGACAGGAGCGCCGAGGAATTATGCCACGGTATTACTCGCCACCGCCTGGGTGAAATTGCGTACCCCCGACGACCGAACGGTACGAGTGCGTGCTCTGCTCAATCAGGGATCAACGCATTTGTTCATCTCGGAAACATTAGCCCAAAATCTCCGCACGCCCCGTCAACGTATGGCACTGCCTGTGACGTGCTTCGGAGAGCAATATTCGGGCACCGCAAAATCCATGGTCAACCTCGCTGTCGAGTCGTGTAAATCGAATGACCCATCGCTTCCGGTGACAGCCTACGTATTCAATAAAATCACCTCATACAGTACCTCTAAGAGAAGCTCCGTCTCGAAGTGGCCGCATTTACGCGATCTCGCTGATCGTTCGTCGATTCAACTTCTCATTGGAGCGGACATATACGGAGCTGTATTATTAGAAGGACTCCGCAAGGGTCCACTGGGCAGTCCTACTGCGCAATGCACAATTTTCGGATGGATTGTTACCGGTCCCGTTAACGAGACAGACGCGCAAGCGTCAGTTTGTGCTGCCTCCGTAAACAGCACGTCTGTGGATCTTGATAAACTCCTCGTGCGTTTTTGGGAAACAGAAGAGGTTCCCTCGAAATCAATTCTCACGGCCGATGAAGAAAGCTGCGAAACGCATTTTCGCACGACTCACAGTCGGGAGGAGAGTGGACGCTATATCGTCCGCTTTCCGTTTAAGCAGTCGCCTCCGCCGATCGGAGAATCATTGTCAATCGCTTCGTGCCTTTACGGCAAACTTGAAAGACGACTTTCTCGCGACCCGTATCTCGTCCTTGAATACAACTCGTTCCTCCAAAAATATCGAGATTTAGGCCACATGGAGCTCATCCCCGCGACGGAACTATCATGCTCCTCCGTTGTCTACCTTCCGCATTACCCGGTAAGGAAGAAGGACGGCCTGACGACTAAAATCAGGGTCGTATTTAATGCTTCATGCAACACGTCAAACCAAACGTCGCTGAACGACCACTTGTTCGTTGGACCCAAACTCCAGACCAATTTACCGACCATCTTGATGAGATGGCGGCAACATAAATTCGTCTACATTTTGGACATCGTGAAGATGTTTCGCCAAATATTCATGCACCCCGCGGACAGGGATTATCAACGAATACCTGGAGATCTTCTCCGCAATCTGCAATTCAGTCGTACCGTTTACGTACGGTTACGTACGGTACCGCTCCAGCGCCCTATCTCGCGATAAGGGTACTTCATCAACTGGCCAGGGATGAGGGCGATCGTTTTCCTTTCGCACGTTCGATTCTGCTCAACGAGACTTATGTTGATGACATACTTTTTGGCGCGAACGATATAGAAACCGCGAATGCTACGCGAGTTCAATTAATCAATTTGCTCGCGGCAGGCGGTTTCCGTCTTCGGAAGTGGGCCGCTAACCACGACGCAATGCTCGAAGACGTACCACAGGAGGATCGAGCTGTGACAAGCAAGTACCCTCTAGAAGAGGAATCCAGCATCAAGGTTCTCGGCATTTCGTGGTCCCCGCGAAACGACTCGTTTAAATTCAAGGTCTCGCTCCCGCCCTCTGCGGCTTCGACTAAACGGTCCGTGCTTTCTACAATCGCACGAGTCTTCGATCTCCTAGGGTGGGCTACGCCTGTAGTCATCGTCGCAAAAATACTGATGCAGGAGCTATGGATACGAAAATGTGACTGGGACGATCATCTTCGCGAAGACCTCAACGAAAGGTGGGAGAATTATTGCAGATCTCTCGCGACTCTTGCCGAAATCCGAATTCCTCGCTGGACTGGACAAGTGACGAGTACAGAACTACATAGCTTTTCCGACGCTTCACTCAAGGCCATGGGAGCTGTCGCTTATATGCGAACTACTTACTTACTTTAACGCCGACGTTAAGGTAGTCCTCATTGCGGCGAAATCAAAGGTAGCGCCTATTAAAACCTTTAGCATCCCGAGATTGGAGTTGAACGCGGCCGTGCTTCTCGTCAGACTCTTCCGTTACGTTACCAAGACTATGCCACTAATCAACGTTCCGACATATTGTTGGACAGACTCCACTATCGTTCTCGAGTGGCTGAAGAAACACCCATCCACGTGGACGACATTTGTGGCCAATCGGGTTGCGGAAATTCAAACCGCGCTCCCGCGGCGGAATGGAAGCACGTACCGACAAGCTCAAATCCCGCAGATATTGCGTCACGCGGCATCGCTCCCAATGAACTTCCATCTCTCGATAAGTGGTGGACCGGCCCCACCTGGCTGCGAGAATCACCTACATCATGGCCGATCTCAGCATGCCGTATCCACGAGGAGATGGGCGAGCTGGATCGCAAAATAGCGGCCGAACATCGCAAAGCTGTCGTGACGCACGCCGAAGTTAGGCCGAATCTACTCGCGCTTAACGATCTCCCTAATCGAATGTCATCGTGGACTCGCTTACTACGAGTTACGGCGTATGTGCTCCGATTCAGTGCCCGCGTGCGGATAAGATCAATATTGACAGCGGGGACTAGTTCCCGCCTTACGGCCACCGAAATTAACGCTGCGAAAGACTTCTGGTGCAAACAGGCCCAGGCCGATTCATTTGCTTCCGAAATAAACGCGCTCGAACGAGGCCGACCGATTTCGTCGAGGAGCCCACTTCTCAAATTCACGCCATTTCTTGATAATAAGGGTACGTTACGCCTAGGCGGGCGGCTGGAAAACTCGTTTCTTGCCTTCACAGAGAAGCACCCAGTAATTCTACCCCGACACCGAATCAGCGAGTTGATTATCAGTCACGCTCACGCGCAAATACTACACGGAGGCCCCCAATTGACTCTCCGCGTCATTCGACAAAATTATTGGATCGTCGGTGCGAGGAACCTCGTGAAATCGATGATACACCGTTGCGTTCCATGCATTCGTCAGCGAGCAGTTATCCCGATTCAACTGATGGGCAATCTTCCGGTGTCTTGCATCTCGCCATCGCGTCCGTTTTTGCATACGGGTGTCGATTATGCCGGCCCGTTTGCCATTATTACGCGCAAAGGTCGAGGGCAGAAAGCCTACAAGGCTTACATCGCCGTTTTTGTTTGCCTCTCGACACGCGCCGTTCATTTGGAATTAGTCGACCGATCTGTCGACGGAATCATTTCTTGCCGCCTTTAAGCGATTTGCCTCTCGTCGTGGCATTCCGAGCGACCTCTACTCCGATAATGGAACCAATTTTCAAGGAACAGAGAAAGAATTATCGACGACATTTCGCCGTATCGCAACAGTTCAGATTTGGGAACGCAATTAGCCACCGATGGCACTTCGTGGCACTTTATTCCCCCCGCGGCGCCTCACTTCGGTGGTATTTGGGAGGCGGGCGTAAAGAGTATGAAACACCACCTACGTCGGGTTGTCGGTAATCATACACTCTCGTCGGACGAGTTCGCGACGCTTCTCTGCCAAATAGAGGCATGTCTCAACTCGAGACCCATTTCCGCCCTCACGGCTGATCTAGAAGACTTCGCGACGTTGATCCCTGGACACTTCCTGATTGGAGCTCCATTGGCAGCCGTTCCCGAGGAGTCAGTGCTCGAGCTCCAGGAGAATCGATTGTCGAGATATCAACGGGTACAAGCGATGCTCGAGCACTTCTGGCAGAGTTGGTCCCGTGATTATCTACACACTTTTCAGCAACGGACAAAATGGACTCGAGCGCACCCTGAAATTAAAAGTAGTATAGCAATGATGATTCTAACTCAGGGATCTGAGGGGGTGCGCGGGTGAAGAGGGGAAGAGGGGTATCAGATAACAGTGGAGGGGGTAATAACGCCATCGTTTTTGGAGGAGAGGGGATAAATGTGGAGTGGTAGGGGTATCAGATTACAATAATTCTCGGAAGATAAGGACTGTTAATACAAATCGCAAGATAAGGATTCCCGGAAAAGATAAGGATTGTTTTATTGGAAAGAGAACTGTTTATTGGTGCAGGTTTTTTTTCTACACATCAAAGTAGAGCGCCATGTTGTCGGAATTATTATGTTTATAGTATGCAGGTTCGTGCAGATTTACGGATTGCGTCATCGCTGTATTTTAGAACAAAGAGGCAGCATTTGAGCGCCGTTTCTTAGAGGGTGTGATAATGATTGTTAATACAAATTGTAGGCATCGCCATGTTGCTAGATGCGTCATCGTGTTTGGAGGAGAGGAGGTAATTTTGGAATGGTGGGGGGTATCAGATCACAATAATTCCCGGAAGAGATAAGATAAGGATTGTTAATGCAAATATGAACCATCGATATTTTTAATCAATTTTGTATGCAACAAGCGGGTATATAAAGCAAGTGAAAAAGAATAGGAACCATCAGTCGTTCGAAATCATTGAGAAAATCACTAGTTCGCTGTGACGTTTACTAGCAACGATGTTTTGCACCATGTCAACCGTGAATAATCAGATCAACAAACAGCAGAGTGCGAAGAAGCTGCAATTACCCAACGAGTATGTCGTTTCTTTAGCTACATCTTTAAACTTAATTGTTATACTTTTAAACTAACAATTTATTTTTTCACAGAAAACAAAAAAGTAATATGTCAAAGATGGAAAAAGAATAATCTAGGATCTTGGTT